TATATGCTTTTTTCATTAACCGCTTCACAGTTTTTACAGCGTTTTCTACTTGGCCATTTGATTGAGAATGACCAGGACTAATTTTGATATGATGGAACTCCCATTGGTGAGCAAAATCTTTATACTCCTGGTTGTCATAGCAGGGACCATTGTCACTAATTACTTTATCCGGAATTCCCTCTCGTGCAAACACAGATTTAGTTGCTGATATCACTGCATGGGCAGTTTTGTTTGGAATCCTGATTACCTCTGGAAATTTAGAATAATAATCTATTAAGATTAGGTAATTTTCTGTTCCTATTTCAAACAGGTCGGTGCCGATATTAGACCATGGATGGTCTGGTATTTCATGCAGAATCATCGGTTCACATGGCCTTTGACTGCGAAATTCCATGCAAGTAGAACATTTAGAGTCTATTTCTTCAATTTCGCTATTCATACGTAGCCAAAACATGATTGATCGAGCCCTTTGTTTTGACTTTACTATTCCTTGGTGGCTTACGTGTAGTTTTTTAATGTTTTCAGGGCGCATACTTGAAGGAATTAACACTTGATTGTTGCGAAATAATAGCCCATTAGAATAGGTGATTTCATCGTGAAATGTATGAAAAGTTTAGCTTCATCCGGAATATGTGCCCTACAATTTGACCATCCTGAAAGGACAAGGTCAATAATCTTCATCAAGGTGGGGTCACTTGCGGTTTCTTCACGCAACATAGCTAGTTTCTGGTCAGAAATGGGACTTTGATTTATGATACTTAGAACATCGTTTTCATCATTAACTTGTGAAGGAGCATCCATTAATGGGGCTCGACTAAGCATATCAGGTACAAACATTTCTTTCCCTGGTTTGTATATACAAACTTCTTCTAAGTCGTGTCTAAGGAGAGTCATGCGCATGCGTTGTAAACAAGGGCTAAGTTTGTGCAGTGTTTTTTGACTCCCGTGTGCGAAGCACAAAAAGGGAGTCTTTGCAGTTAGTGTGTCTGTATGTGCGTGTGTGTGTGTGTGTGTGTGTATATGTATGTGTGTGTGTATGTGTGTCCGTCTGTTCCACTGATATCTCAAGAACCATACATCAGTTTTTGATGAAACTTGGTGCATAGATGCTCTGGGCCAATGCGCAGATTTGATTAGGTTTTGGTAAAAATCCGTATATTAATTACCTAATTTGCATGATAATTAGCTGATTTTTAGCTGTTTCATGACTGTTCCACTGATATCTAAAGAACCACTCATTGGATTTTGATGAAACTTGGCACACAGATGCTCCAAACTAATGCACAGATTTGATTAGTTTTGGGTAATAATCTGTGCAATATTAATTACCTAATTTGCATAATAATTAATCAATTTTCGGCTTTTCCACTGATATCTCAAGTACTAATCATCACATTTCAATAAAACTTGGTACATAGATGTCATAGGACACTGCACAAACCTGAAAGTTTTTAGGGTAATATCAGTAGATATTAATTACCTAATTAGCATAATTAATTAATTTTCAGCTTTTGATATTTCAAGTAGTAATTGTCACATTTCAATGAAACTTGGTACATAGATGTCATAGGACACTGCACAGACCTGATAGTTTTTAAGGTAATATGAGTACATATTAATTACCTAATTTGCATAATTAATTAATTTTCAGCTTTTGATATTTTAAGTAGTAATCATCACATTTCAATGACACTTGGTACATAGATGTCATAGGATACTGCACAAACCTGATAGTTTTTAGGGTAATATCAGTATATA